ATCATATCAACAGCTTTTTAAAGTTATTTAATAAAATAGATAAATATCTCCGAAACTAGGTACTGAACCTAAAATTTTGAAAATAATACAGAAAATAGTTCCTTACTTATAGATTACAGATTGAACATAACGTGGTAAATTTACATTTACAGTTTGAACTTTTGTTTGAAAAATTTTTCTATTAAACATAGTTTGGCCACGATAAGCATAGTGTGTACTTTTTAGGCCACCCTGTGTACATAGATGGTTATTTTTTTAATAAGGAAATATCTACTAAAATTGTTAATCAAATCACTTTGTAGTTTTGCCTACTGAATACCAATTACCAGTTTCTAAATTTAAAAAATCCTACAGAGTGGGCCAACTGATGGAATTTGGAATTGGATAAAAGTTTCTACTCTCCAATCAAAACAGAGTTCCATATTTTCTCTTATCTTACGAAACCTTTATGCCATCAAAAAGAAACTCTGACGCGATGCGGATGCTTTTCAAGTTTTTTTTTTTAATATTTTTCCGTCGTTTGGACTGCTCTCGTTGGCGATTTTTAATCCGCAAAGCATTAAGTCAAGTTAAAAGGTCCTTATTCGCGCGAACAAGGTACCTATGCCCTTTTGGTCAGCAGTTATAATCATCAGCAGAACGCGTACATAAGCACGGCGCGACGCGGCGCCGGATCCGTCGCCGTCCAAAGCCCGGTGAAAGGTGGTGGCCGCGTTGAAGAGTTGGCTGGAGTGTCCTTCACCGTGGAGGGTTCTCCAAGTCCAGCCTCAGCCTCTACTACCACTGCTCGTTGGTGGTGTGCTGTGCTGCCGCTTACTCTTTTACACTCTATGCACACCACCATTTCACCTTGCTTTCTCTTCGCTCTTCTTGGTATATTGCTTCACTTATTGTATGCAATCCCTTTGTCATATATGTGTTACCGGTAATGTATGAAATCTAGAAATTGTATAGATACAATTCCTAGGCTATTTAGGAAATCTATAAAATATCAAAGATTTTTAATTAATTTGGACTGTTAACAATACCTGAGGGCTATGAAAAATACACGTTAATCGTGGTTAAATACAAATACAGTAGAATCCGCTTATGACATCGAAGGGAAATGACAAACACGTCATACAAAGCATAATCTTAGAAAATAAACAACTTTCTATTTTGACTAGTTATTTAGTTTAATAGAGAGAAAAACTACAAATTGTATATATTTATTAATAGAAAAAGAAAAAGAACGATGAATTGTAGTATCAATATAATAAGAAAGGTCAGAAAAATGAGCGAAAATGCTGTTATTAATCATTTGGGTCACTATAGCCAGATATAATTTCTTGAGAATCAGTCATAATAAACGATATGTCATTTTAAACGGAGTCNAATAGAGAGAAAAACTACAAATTGTATATATTTATTAATAGAAAAAAAGAGAAGGATGAATTGTAATATCAAAATATACATAAGAAGGGTCAAAAAAGTAAGCGAAAATGTTATTAATCATTTGGGTCACTGTAGCCGGATATGATTTCTTGAGAATCTGTCATAATAAACGATATGCCATTTTAAACGGAGTCATTATATCCAAACTTTCCTATAGAAAATTTAATATGAAAACCAAACTTAACACTGCAATTACTTTATATTAAGCGGTTGGTCAATATAGGCGGAGTCATAATAAACGAATTCCACTGTATGTTGTATTTTGTCCGAATTGTGTAGGTATTTACCACCACAAATTATTACGTCATTATTAATACAAATTTTTTCTTCTATTACATTATGATTTTTAAGGTGACATGAAAAAGACTCGTCCGACTTTCTCAAAACTAGTACCTCGTATTTATATCAGTGAGTTAAAATAGTCTCGAGGGTCGTACAATGATCTAACAATTATTCATCTTTTACTATTTCTGTTAAAGTACGTATGCATTAATGGGGATAATCCGAAAAAGCAAATGTTCATTACGCTCAGTAAACTAATAACACTTGTTAACGTATATAGTAGGTACATTGTATATGCCTACTAAGTATTGAGATAGTTCAGCAAACTTTCATGTCGCCTTAAGATAAATTGTATTAGGGGTAAATACAGAGGCGGATTAAATGTCGAGAGCGCCCTAGGCTAGCACCTCGTAGACGCCCAGGTGCTTTCTTATATTTTTTTTTACCACTGGGTAAATATAAAATTCAGGTGGAATCGTGAAATACAGTTGACTTATATTTAATAGCAAAAAATCGGCATGTTCTTCATCGCCGAAAATCTAACCCCAATAGATAATAACGGTGGATTTTATGATGGGACGGTGGTAGTTACTAACTGTCGCTATGTAAACAGCCTGATAGTAGCTATCGTGCAATCGTGACAGCGCTCTCCAACTACGGTCGTTTGAACGAATGTTTAACTAGAAGGTTGATAGTAATACTGGTATTGGGACAGTATCTTTTGTTTTGGGGTATTTATGGCATAGAATTGTTGGTCGTAAAAATAGAAAGATGAAAAATGAAATTTTTTTTGTTTGAACATCCTTTTTTCGCCGAGAAAATATAAGCATTTCTGTAAGAAAACTATAAGAAATAAAAAGAAATTCATTTGGCAACGCTAGTTCGTTCCGAAAACGTACCACTGTAGCAAAGCGGGGTTAAAGAAATTCCCTTTAAATTCCAACATTCCATCATGAGATTACATTCATTTTATATTTTATAGCCGGCTTCAATTTTGCGTCCTGATATTTCAATTCCACACCGGAATACTTTTCGAGTGTGGACTTTGCTATATTTCGAATAAAGGCGAGCGAGACATTCCCAAAAAGTGCATTGTTTAGCGAGTTGCTAAGCAAATCGTTCTATACACTAATTTTAAGTGATTCTTAAGGTTTTTGGTATGCTGAATTCGAATATACACGCAGGCACCCACACACACTCATACATACCTGTATAATATAGTCGAATAAAAACATTTTAAATAACATAAATTCTATTAGCTGTTTGTTAAGGGAAGCTGAATAATGATATTGTTATTTATTATTATAAAATTTTCGTATTATTTCAAAAGTCGTAATATAAAAATAATGTTTATTTTAGTCAAATTTAAATTTGAATTATTTTTTCGCGTATATTGCGTAATATCTTCAACTTAAATGACAATTTTGATTTTTTTGCATAAATTATGATTTTATTCAATATTGTCCCAATTTTTAGCAAATTAACTGGTAAAATAAGATTTCTCGGGAATCATAAAAATTAGGGGGTGTCCCGTTTGCTTAATAAATCTGTTGTTCTCACGAATGATTTAAAAAAATCGAAAAAAAAAAAAGAAAAGTAAGCTTTTCCTCTTTAAATGTACATGAAACAGAAATCTGCCTTATACTTAATTCAACCAACTCAAAATTGTAGAAAATCCACAAATCTTTCAAATAAGTCTGGAGACGTTNCAAGTGGTAAATAAAATAAAAATTTGATAATCTTTAGAATACACTATCCGATACCGTTGGAATACTGTGGAGCCCCCGACCCCGTCGTTCTACAAGCTACAGTCACCATCCGTTTGACGTTCTCCCACTTTGTTGCAATAAAAAGTTTTTTTTTTATAAAAATTCAAAAATCCGGGCTTTATTTTTTATAAAATGGAGTCCCGAGAAAACTGAATTGAATCATATCAACAGCTAAGATTTAATTTAAAATTTTACATTGGTTGTTTGAGTTTATAGTAGTCATAGGTATTAGTGAACAGTCGTAGGCAACACGTAAATCTTTCGTGCATGCAAAGTGACATAATCGGAAAACCGGAAAAGGAAATAAGGGAAATTTTCACAAACTAAGTGAAATCGTATAAAGTAATTGTTATCTACAATAATTCATATCTTAAATTGCTACATAAGAGTTAATTAAAACAACGTTTGGAATGTGAAGTTATGCGTCTAAACGTGCAAATAAAAAGAAAAATAAGAACATCTCAATTAATATAAAATAACCTAAAAATTTTGACATCTTTAACCTAAAAATGTGTAGGACATTTGGAAAAAAAGAATAATTTCCTTTAATTACGATTAGTATAACTAATAAAACATGTCGTTCTGTTTACGTAGTATTAACAAAACTATTCAGCACACAATTGCAACTTCTAGATGGAATTTGTATCCAATTTTAAGTCAAGTTAAAGTGTTTTCGTCTCCAAAAATTATAATAGGAAACAGTACAAGGAATACAAGTTTCTTTAACAAATGTTAGGGTGAGTGTGATAAGAAAAAGTTTGGTTTTATAATTAGAATATTTATAGTACCTGCTGATCACTTGTGGAAAGGAATAACCTCTGTAAGTAATGCAGGCAAGAAAAGAGGAAGAGGTAAAACATTGGCTCGAAAGAAAGATCTTAATCGCGGACAAGTTTTGGGACTCGGTAATAAAACTGAGAAAATCTATGAAAAGTTGCAATAATGTGATTTTTAGGAAAAGCGAATATGCTTTGGCCTGGTCTATCTGCACCAATAATACGTGGTAAAGAATTGGTAGAAAGGCAGCAATTACCAGAAGATCCAGAAAGGGAAAAGAAACTTATTCAACTAAGGGATAAAATGGGTGCACTTAAATCATACAAATTAAGTCCTTTAGAACGAGGTTGGTCAGGCAATAAAATGCCTGGCAGAAGTATTGGACCACCTGACCCAATAGGAGAAGGTCGCTTGTTTATGCAACTATCTACTTGAAATTTAAGTTTGCATTATTTTAGATAAATTTGAAGGTTTTGACACCAAAGTAATTGAATTTAAAATTGTCTTTAATATGAAAGGGAATTTTGGTAGAAAGAGAAGGCAGTCTACTTTTGTTGTAACAGGTAACAAGAATGGTTTAGCAGGCTTTGCAACAGGAAAAGCTATAGACCCCAAAGCTGCTCTCAGAAAAGCTAAAAATAGAGCAGGACAAAAATTGATGCATATTGATATTTTCAGAGGACATACAGGTGATTTAATAAAGGATTTATTTATTAAAAGTGTAGAGGATGAAGATACATATCTTCTTATTTTAGTTAATCACGACTTTTTTACCCAATTTGGTGCTACAAAAATTTATGTAAGTCAGAAACCTGAAGGATATGGCCTTGTGTGTCATCGAGCTATAAAAACAGTTTGTGAAGTGATTGGTATAAAAAATCTGTATGCTAAAGTTGAAGGATCAACAAATGTGCAGCATATTGTTAAAGCGTTCTTTTTAGGTCTTCTAAGACAGGTTACTAATTTAACTAAACGAAAAACGTTAGGTATTTCTTAAATCATCTTTTAGAAAACTCATCAAGAAATTGCAAACGATAAACAACTACATCTAGTTGAATTTTCAAAAGATAACGAGTATTATCCTAAAGTACTTGCGTCGCCGACTGTCTGCAGAAAAGCAGATGAAATTCGCCATCATGAAGTCATGGATTTTACACAGTACTGTTATGATGGAAGAATTGTGTTGAAGAGGAAAAAATTTCCCATATTTTACACTAAACATAAATCGTGGGAAGTTCATTTGAAGAAACAAGAATACTTGAGGAATTTGGACAAAACACAAACCTATTTGAGAGCTGAATATGGAGAACTTAAAAGCTTCTTAACTGAAAAATACCCAGAATGTAGGCCCCACAAGGTCCCTCCAAAAGAAAAAACTAGTGAAGAAGAGTAACTGATTAAAAATTATTTTATTTTGGTTTTTGTGTAATAAATTGCAAATAAAATAAAAAAATATGTTTTATTTTTAATGTCCTAGTTTTCCTAGAATATACATATATCTAACTTTTTTTCATTTGTTTAGCTGATTTACCATCAACTTTTCTCTGGATATTCTTAAGCTATGTTGTCAATAGATAATTCCTTTGTAAAGGGTATTTTGTAATTTTCAACTAAAAAAAAAGAAAACAAAAACCTCGCAAATATTTAAAGAATTAGTACAATCTGCCAGTCTATTCAAAAATACCTCAAGTAATTTTATAAAATAATACAACATTTTGTTATTTAGTTTTCTTAGAAACGCACAACTCGGTATACAGTATAATTTTAATAACAATATTTTTATGGCACCATAATTTTTATGACCTTTTATTTTCGTTCATATACGTCAAACATTATGCTTTGGGGCTTACATGATATTGACTGATTACTGATTACCATTTAGTTTTGTCCGTTTATGCATTCGTATTTTCATATTAATCATCAGTTATCATCAAATATTTTGGTACGTAAATCTGTGTATAACATAAATAAATAAAATTATCTAGTGGCAAGTAGTTTCGTTTATCTCGTTGCTAAGATAATTATCTTCATTTTGTTTTGAATACCATTATGAAGAAATAACTTTGAAAAACTTATTAGTATCAATAGATAAGCACAAATAAAACGACTTTATGTAAGTACGTTTTGCAGTGTGAATCCCGCCTTTATTTTGCTGTTTCAGATAAATATTTTTGAACAAGCACCGATATAGTTTTGTTTTTAATCTTATAAAAGTAAGTAAATTATATTGTCTGTGACCCATTAGTGATTAAAATTTTTAAATTTCGCGCAGTTAAAGTTTAAAAGTCACCATCCGTTTGACGTTCTCCCACTTTGTTGATTCTTCCCCACCTTCGATAAAAGTTTACACACGTGTTGCAGGGAAGGAGGCGCAGTATTTGTTATAGGTTTATTTCCGCATGGTTTTGCTAGGTGATTGCACAGATATAATTTAGTATATATTTTGTTCAATACCAAGTATTTATTACATAGACTGATAAGGAAACTTAATTGTGGTAAGACATTTTTATTGTTTCTCGAAATAGTGATTTGAAAAACGGACGGTATTGCACAAAACGGTCGTCCTTCAGTACACGTGCTTTCAGCATTTTAAAGAATCGCATAGTTAAAAATAGGTCTTACGTTATTATTTCCTATTAGTAGTCTTATATGAGAGCGGGGGTGTTTTAGCATATAAAGTGTTTTCTTTCGTAGATAACGTGAAAAATGGTACAAAACGAGTCAGTCAGTGATATCGAGGAATTTTCTGGAAGTTCTAAAACTCCAGCTAAAGGAATTCCAGAAGGAAAATATCAGCTCGTAGGTTTAGGGATCGACACAACGGGTAGTAGATTAATAGACGAAATAGTACAAATAGCAGGGTACACAAGTGCAGGACAGTTTTCTCAATACATAATGCCCTTTTCTGATTTAAATCCTGCTTATAAGAGACGTCATCTGTTACGGGTCGTAAATTTAGGACGATATCGAATGCTCAAAGACATGAAAACTAATAAATTCATCAAAACCAAGAGCGAAATTTCAGCTTTAACTGACTTTATAGACTGGTTAGAAACTGTACGGAGAGATGCAACAGATGGGATTATCCTTGTTTATCACGAATTTCGTAAAACTACCCCTGCCATGCTGCTAGAAGCTCTGCACCGTTATAATTTAACCGATAAATTTAAAAGTGTAGTTAAAGGATTTGTAAACAGCTTTTATGTTGCTGAGAGCAAATGCAACAAAACTATGAAATCATTCACCTTGAGAATGATGGCTCAAGTATTACTTAACAGAGAAGATGAATTTACCAGTGCAACTGATAGAGCAAAAGCCATTTATGAAGTTGTGATTCATTTGGGACAGGCCGAAAAGCCAGATCTGCACTCTCAGGGGAGTGGAGATTCTAGTGGGGCTGAAAAGCATCTTATTGATTTTATCAGGCCTTTTACCAATCCAGTTGATGCCGAAGAAGATGAAATTGCTGGCTTTAAGGTCAGTTAATTTTAATGCTTACTAATAAATACCACTTTTATTTTCTAATTTTAGAAGCTTCTACAACGGCAAAATACATTCAAGCCAGTTTTTGGGGCCCTCTTAAGGGCAACGAGATCCGAAAGAGTTCACGCCAGCCATTTGCGTAGACTTTTGGCAGAAAATAATATCGATTATGAAAAATTAAAAACAGCTTACCAAACCAGCGCAAGGCAGGGCATTGAAAAAATCCTCAAGGATGAGGTATATGTCTACAGTGTATTATTTTCATAGAAATTATCTTATCATTATTGTACTAAAATAACCGCGTTTATCAGTTATTCAAATCTTATCAATTTCTCCTGTTAACTTTGTAAACAGTGATAACTCTTAAAAATGCATTGAACAAAACAATTACTTAAACAACCCAATTCATGTTATTCCATAATCAGTGATAATGATAGTCAATTATTTTAATAGGGCATTCACTTTCTGGAAAGTTTAGGAAACATAGATTCCAGGCTGTAACGTAACTTGGAAATTTTACGATTCTTTTTCATTTTTTCAAAGATATGATAGGGAGAGGAGAATGATTCTGTTCTAGTCTGACATTTTTTTTCGGACAAGGCATTTTTTGCCCTTTCTTAGAAAACTAGGAATACTCTATCATATCAGAAACATTTTTTTATTTTGGTGTAGGAAATTGAAAATTGGTCAGAGACAGTATCCTTTAGTGATTAAGGCTTTTAATTTGTATAAAATTTGTGGAAACCTTTACTAGAAATTATGCTACATATGTGTACGTATGTGTGAAGTTAAAATTTTCCATTTATAAATTTTTAAGGTACCAAATGCAAAGGAAAAAGACATAACAGAGTTATTAGAAATTTTGGATTGTTTCTTTGATCCTGACAAGAAAGCTGTTCAGCCAAAGCCCCGTTTCTTTTCGAATCAACGCAGAGTGCCTAGAAGCAGAAAATTCTCAGACAGAGAAAAAACGAAAAATAACAACGTTTCTTCCGCCAACAATAGTTCAGAAACGACAAGTGCCAATTTAAGTAACGAAGCGACACCCAGAACTGAAGAAACAACCACTGTGGAAAATAATTCTGCAGCCGAACCTCCCGTCCCTGTAGCGGCTGCAGTTCAATAAACAATACTCGGTGCCTTAGAACTTTTTAAATAGATTTTCATGTTATATTGCTTTTGTGCATTTACTTTTTTATTTATTACGATTGATCCATTAATATGTGATTCGCGTTATCAGAATTTGATGTTTATGTTGCTTTTTTTATTAGAAGAAAAATTGGATGGATATATTTAATTTTATTATTTATGCTCGTTATAACTGTTGAATAGTATATTTTGTTTGTTGATGATTTATTATTAATCAGTGATAATTTTTAATTTGTGATAATAAAAATGTCGTTTATAATTTTAGTATTTTCTTTTATTTTATAAACATTTATATTGCTTGTTTTTGCTTTATTATAAGAATATTTAAGTCAAGTTGTACGGCCTTTATCAAATTTGACATCCGCTTTTTAATTATTGACAAAAATGTCATTTGTAGAATGAAAAGGGTATTGTACTTTGAATGACTTTATTAATGAATTTAATAAATGACTGACCCAAATTTATTTACAAATTGTAACTTTCAGGGTCGAGACTACTTAGTAAAAATGTTTGCAACAAATACTTGCTTAGAAATATTGGTAACAGATAAGAAAACAGGGGAAGAATGGCAATGTAATTATGACAATTTATGTAAGAATTAGTATTTATTATTGTTTTTATGTTTTCTACGCACCTGTTTTATTTTCAGTTATTGAAAATTTAACCCATAAAACTGGAAATTACAAGCAGTTTGATATTTTCGTAACGATGATTAAATCTGGTCTCTTAAAAGTACGTATCATTATAATTGCAAAAAAATTGTGTAACTGTGTAGACGGTTCTTTTCAGACCAGTTCTTCAATCAGTTTAAATCTTTTGACGCTCGAAGACCTGGAAGCCATGAGAATAAAACGTTTAAGGAGTCACTTAACATGTACCCACTCCACTACATGTGAAAACCAAAACAGAAGATACCTAATAATTACCTACACCGTAGAATTTGATAGGTGCTCAAAAGCAAGTTATTCTTTTACAAGTGGTAAATAAAATAAAAATTTGATAATCTTTAGAATACACTATCCGATACCGTTGGAATACTGTGGAGCCCCCGACCCCGTCGTTCTACAAGCTACAATACATAGACTTGAGGAAGAAATTTTAACGCTGAAGCAGAAGAAAGATAACAGACTCGATAACCAGAAGAATTTTGTATTAGAGAGAAGGTGTGTGTCTTAAAAAAGAGGGAACAGTTATATTTAATTAATTTTTAGAATCGATGAGTTAAATACAGAAAATAAAGAGTTGCGTGAAGAAATACGGCAATTAAAGAAACTTAATGGTAAAACGCAGAAGAATGAAGTTTACATGTTACAAAAGGCCATAACGAACTTGGAAAAAAGTATTATGAATGAAAGACGGTCTCATCACAAACTTGTAGAAAAACTGCGCACCGAAAAGAAATATTTAATAGATGAAGTTGAAAAGCTAAAAAATAACGAAAAAATACTAAAATCTCAACTTAGAAAAGTGTCAGTCAGTCCTTCCAGGTAACTTTTTGTTAAATAATTTTATGATACCTGTTGCGCTTTTTATCTTAGTAGCATCATCGGCGAACATTTTATGTCCTTTACAAAAATAAACTTATAGTAAAAATAATTGTTGTCGCTTAAAGGTGCATACATACATGGCATTAATTGCACTTGCATTCTTATAACCCAATAAACATACTTGAATGATTAGTTTTTTAAACAATCTTAGGACATTAGCATCATTTGCCTCAGTTGGCAACTGATGTGCATGTGTTGTTAGTTTCGTTATCGGAGAATAAAACTGCCGGATGTTATTATTATTAGATAACATAACTTAAGTTCAAATGACTATGTAGGAACAATTTAAAATTTCAGAATGTCAGTTAATGGCATGGGAAAATTCCCGGTCAAAAAATCGGAATCAGTACAACTGATTTATCAGAGAAGTCCCACTTCTATAAGACGAAATTACAGTCACAATCAACCTATTAAAGTTAAACCCGAATCGCCAAAGTATAAACGCTTAGATAATTTGGAAAAGTCGAACTCCAGAACTATTTCTAGGTAAGCTATAAAAAACTAAAGACTAAGATGTTGTGTTTATATATTTTCTAGGCAGAAAATTACAAAAAGATTGACCTTTTCTGGTGAGTTTTTTTACACAAAAATGATGGCTAACTTCAAACTAATAAAAAATAAAATATATCATGTGTGGTAAAGCAGAATACTTCCTTTACAGAGCAAGGAACGTATCTAGTACCACAAGAATGAGAAGCAGAAGTAGTTCTGCTTCAAGTAGTCTGAGAAGTCAGTTATCACCTTTGAAGAGGCCTAACACATTCCAAGTAAAGGATTTTACCTACAAAGATAGGACTTCACGTAGATCAAGAAGCAACTCAGTTTCATCTGTTGATTCACCAGGAAGAAAATCCGCGAATGCTAAAACTATGAAGAGAAGCATGTCCAATTTTCAGAATAATGATCTCGATTTTCAAATATTAGAAGAACGAATAGAAGTGTTACAGAAACTACTGAACGAGAATATCAAACTTCAATAGAAAAAATTCAAAAATACTGTATTTAAATATTTTTTTTTAAGAAATGTAAGTTGTCATAAATTCAACTGTATTTATTGCCCTATTAAATCAGATTAGGTCGTTTTTTTTTTAAATAAAATTTATTGTTCTTTTTAAAACTTAAACTAGTTGCATTTAAATAATATATATACATTTTCTATCTTTTCTATTTTTTATGCGCCTAATTACGTTGTTTATAAGGATATTCTATAAACATCTTTGTATAAGTAATTTAAAGCATCTGAGAGAATTCCATCACTTTTCTGTTTCTCATTCTTACTAAATAAATCATCTTCTACATTACTAACAACCTGCAGTAAGAAACTGGAAAATTCTGGAACATTCTTTGAGTTTTCTGTATTGCTATTATTTTTTGGGTATTTTAAAGTATTTTGATTCTCAATATTGTTCTCTTTTAAATTTTCAAGATGCTCAATTGAAAAGTCTTTCAAGAAGAAGGGCTTAATGTCTGCTGCTAGAGAAGGTTTAAGAGCTAATCCTTTGAAAGATGGTATAGATGATTCAACTTTTGGTGAATGAATTCCAGCTTCTTCTAATGATGGGACAGGAATGGGAATGAAACCTGCAGGTAAGTTATTCTTGGTGGAACTAAGCACACTGCTTTTATCATTTTCTTCATCAGGCTTCTTTTTTTGAATCCACGGTTTTTTCACAACACCAGATTCTATTATATTTATATAAAGGTCATTAGCCATAAATGAAATTAATTTTAAATATGTATACCTAGTTCTGTAACAACTCGTAAAAGATGTTTTATTTGAGCTCCCTGCTCTTCGGTTTTCATGAACAATTCTCGCATATTAGTGTTTATAATTTCTATTTCCTTTATTTTAGCCGCCTCTTTTGCTGCTTCTTTTCGGGCACTCCTACAAATATAACACATCGTTTATATATTAATGTGAATTATTAATTCAAAAAGTACCTATTATACTCCATAAGTAACACCACTGCTGCAATTACGAATATAATTGATTCACCTAGTAAATTAGCTCCCAGTTCGATTGCCATTTCTTCATTTAAGACGGCGATATTAACAGGTTTTCCTAAATTTAATATCCACATTTTCGCTTTTATTTCACACCAGTTGTAGACTGAAAATATTATATAATAAAGGAAATACGTTTTCAAATATTCTAAACAAACATACACTGTGCTGGAGGCAAGCACACATATTTTCTAAAAACTGGAGAACTTTTGGCTTGATTCTTCAAGGCATTGGCTATAGGCTTACTTACTTGTTTGAGCAGTAAAGCTCCTAATTTTGCAATTGGGAAAGCTCCCACAACCATTTTTAAAAATAGACTATTTTTACATTATGATTATATTCATGAAATATAATTAAATCAGACGATTCTTTGAATTTAATTGCTAACTTGGAAAATAGAGACAAACATAGATAATAGATATACAAAGGGAGACAAACATAACCATAAAACTAAAAGTATAAAAGCATAGATAAAACACATCATAGATAAAAAATGATACATTTGCAAATCATAATATCCATATAATTATTGTACACCTAATATATCTATGATTATGCAAGTCAAGGTGTCAACCACAGTTTAGAGATGTATATATGTAGTGGGAGATGTATAAGGTGATCAACTTGTTTTAAAAGTGGTAATTAATTACCTTTTTCTTGCGTGGTTCTGTAGATTATCCAATAACTGAGAAGGAATTAATTCTGATGGTACTAAAACAACCGACGCGTTTGATGTGTTCACCTTGCAGCATTAAGTACTTAATTTTGGCTTTGAGAATGGGAGACAATTGTACATTAATTCGGATGCTACTGGAACAGCAAATTATCTTCAGTGGTTTGTAGATTTGGTTTGCCCATCGTACAGGTACACTTTAGAATGCTACTTTCTACAATTAATTCAGGTGAGAATACATGACTTCATTAATATTAATTGATCTTTATTAATTTACCATGGAAATTCTGTTAACAATTATCTATTGTCAACNGATCAACTAAATAGCTAAGCCCAAGGGAAGTCGTTCGGGGAGGCCCTCCCTAATTCCACAAGGGTGAGAAGAAACACACACGATAACGAAACGTTGAATCATGTAGAACTCGTAGGGTAAATGCAAAGCAAATTAGGAAGAATATGCAGTAGGCTAAGCGAAGAGGTAAGCAAGAGACATGTTAGACTATACTACAACTACTAAACGTGTTAGAACTACTGCTACACTACTACTACATACAAAAAAAAATAAAAACATATGCAATCAACAATTACTTGAAATAAAATGAACAAAAATAAGTATGCAAAATAATTCAAATTATGTACAAAAAAACATGCAAAATAAAGAATTAATTTGAACAAAATGGACTTAATGAATTCTACTAGATAGAGCATGCAAGATAAAGAACTATTTTAACTATGGGGTCATCTATGTCTTCTCCAACGTCGATCTGAAACAGACACGGTGGTAACAGATTAATAAAGAGCAATTAAAATTAGTTATATCAAGTATTCTCACCTTAATTAACTGTAGAACGTAATGTTCCAAAGTTTGCAGGTGTGAAAAGCAAACCAACTTCAGGAGAAATACCATAGCAGAAAATTTGTTGTTTCAGTGGAATTCGAATAAATCTCCAGTTGCTCTCACTCGTCGGTTGAAAATTGACTGCATAATGTTGCAAGATGAGGACAAAACAGCAAAGAATATACTCCACGAAAGACAACGCCCATGTAGACATTGGCTGTTTCAGTATGACCAAACTGAACATTAATTCTCTCTCATCTGCTGGATAACCTGTAGGAAAGGACAAAAAGAGATATTAATTATCCTACTAATTAAGAAACACATTTAATACAACTAAAAACGCACCACAAAGCAAATAAAACAGCTGAATCATAAAATGACAAGCGTTATTTTCACGCCATTTTATATCACAACCATAGATCCTGACATAGATAAAAGTCAAATAACTCGACGTCAATTAAAAAGAAATCCATAGATGAATGACAAATACCCATCGACGTTTACAAATATATGTCTATGCAAATATCAATATATTCTGTGGAAAATGAAGATTGTTAAAAGAGATACAGATGCAGAATAATCTCAGGGTGTGTTCCGAAATATAACCCAGCATACTGAGCAGTGCTGATGACGTAATGAATCGCCCCATATTGACAATAGTGTTTGTGCTCGTTTACAATAATTTTGCTCTTAAAGTTATTTAAGTTTCTTACAATAAAAAATACCTTAAAGTCTGATGCACACACGTCCGTTTGATATACTACTACATCACATTTGTCTCACCAGTACAATATGGCGTCGATTTATGACGTCATCAGCACTGACCAGTATGTTGGGTTATATTTCGGAATGCACCCTGTATTCATACTGTTGACAATAGATAATTGTTAACAGAATTTCCATGGTAAATTAATAAAGATCAATTAATATTAATGAAGTCATGTATTCTCACCTGAATTAATTGTAGAAAGTAGCATTCTAAAGTGTACCAGTATGATGGGCAAACCAAATCTGCAAGGTGAACCCATCAAACGCGTCAGTTGTTTTAGTACCACCAGAATTAATTCCTTCTCGGTTATTAGATGATCTACAGAACCACGCAAGAAAAAGGTAATTAATTACCACTTTTAAAACAAGTAAATTAGCAACATTCACACTGATAAAAAGATCAGTTCCACATTAATCCTACTGTTCTGTTCAAAAGTTGCTTATTGAAGCAAGTTATAAATGTCTTCAGAAATTGAAGTTTCTGGGACCTCATTTACTATTTTTAATCATTTATTTAGCAACTGTCTCCTCTCCCAATAGAAAAAAAGGCACTTTCATGCTTTTTTTAGGACCACAGGTACAGCTACTTTCTATGGCAAATGAGGACTAATACAACCAGTGCTCCATAAGTTAATGGTATCTTGAGTTCTTCTATGTTCTTGTAAAATAAATTCAATGGAAAAGTGGTAAGATATAATTAATTTAATTGTAACTAAATAACGTGCATGATACATTGTTTAAGTAATGCTAAACCCTTATCTCTGTTATGTGAAATACACTGCATATATAATAAAGCATGTGTGCTCACCTTAATCCGTTAATAACAGCCTTCAAGATGGAAAGTTAACAGACAAAACATCATAGGAAGGAGGCAACTTATTTTTTCAGTAGCATCAAAATGAATTTTCACGAAAGACAACGCCCGTGTANTTATTCTTGGTGGAACTAAGCACACTGCTTTTATCATTTTCTTCATCAGGCTTCTTTTTTTGAATCCACGGTTTTTTCACAACACCAGATTCTATTATATTTATATAAAGGTCATTAGCCATAAATGAAATTAATTTTAAATATGTATACCTAGTTCTGTAACAACTCGTAAAAGATGTTTTATTTGAGCTCCCTGCTCTTCGGTTTTCATGAACAATTCTCGCATATTAGTGTTTATAATTTCTATTTCCTTTATTTTAGCCGCCTCTTTTGCTGCTTCTTTTCGGGCACTCCTACAAATATAACACATCGTTTATATATTAATGTGAATTATTAATTCAAAAAGTACCTATTATACTCCATAAGTAACACCACTGCTGCAATTACGAATATAATTGATTCACCTAGTAAATTAGCTCCCAGTTCGATTGCCATTTCTTCATTTAAGACGGCGATATTAACAGGTTTTCCTAAATTTAATATCCACATTTTCGCTTTTATTTCACACCAGTTGTAGACTGAAAATATTATATAATAAAGGAAATACGTTTTCAAATATTCTAAACAAACATACACTGTGCTGGAGGCAAGCACACATATTTTCTAAAAACTGGAGAACTTTTGGCTTGATTCTTCAAGGCATTGGCTATAGGCTTACTTACTTGTTTGAGCAGTAAAGCTCCTAATTTTGCAATTGGGAAAGCTCCCACAACCATTTTTAAAAATAGACTATTTTTACATTATGATTATATTCATGAAATATAATTAAATCAGACGATTCTTTGAATTTAATTGCTAACTTGGAAAATAGAGACAAACATAGATAATAGATATACAAAGGGAGACAAACATAACCATAAAACTAAAAGTATAAAAGCATAGATAAAACACATCATAGATAAAAAATGATACATTTGCAAATCATAATATCCATATAATTATTGTACACCTAATATATCTATGATTATGCAAGTCAAGGTGTCAACCACAGTTTAGAGATGTATATATGTAGTGGGAGATGTATAAGGTGATCAACTTGTTTTAAAAGTGGTAATTAATTACCTTTTTCTTGCGTGGTTCTGTAGATTATCCAATAACTGAGAAGGAATTAATTCTGATGGTACTAAAACAACCGACGCGTTTGATGTGTTCACCTTGCAGCATTAAGTACTTAATTTTGGCTTTGAGAATGGGAGACAATTGTACATTAATTCGGATGCTACTGGAACAGCAAATTATCTTCAGTGGTTTGTAGATTTGGTTTGCCCATCGTACAGGTACACTTTAGAATGCTACTTTCTACAATTAATTCAGGTGAGAATACATGACTTCATTAATATTAATTGATCTTTATTAATTTACCATGGAAATTCTGTTAACAATTATCTATTGTCAACAGTACGAATACAGGGTGCATTCCGAAATATAACCCAACATACTGGTCAGTGCTGATGACGTCATAAATCGACGCCATATTGTACTGGTGAGACAAATGTGATGTAGTAGTATATCAAACGGACGTGTGTGCATCAGACTTTAAGGTATTTTTTATTGTAAGAAACTTAAATAACTTTAAGAGCAAAATTATTGTAAACGAGCACAAACACTATTGTCAATATGGGGCGATTCATTACGTCATCAGCACTGCTCAGTATGCTGGGTTATATTTCGGAACACACCCTGAGATTATTCTGCATCTGTATCTCTTTTAACAATCTTCATTTTCCACAGAATATATTGATATTTGCATAGACATATATTTGTAAACGTCGATGGGTATTTGTCATTCATCTATGGATTTCTTTTTAATTGACGTCGAGTTATTTGACTTTTATCTATGTCAGGATCTATGGTTGTGATATAAAATGGCGTGAAAATAACGCTTGTCATTTTATGATTCAGCTGTTTTATTTGCTTTGTGGTGCGTTTTTAGTTGTATTAAATGTGTTTCTTAATTAGTAGGATAATTAATATCTCTTTTTGTCCTTTCCTACAGGTTATCCAGCAGATGAGAGAGAATTAATGTTCAGTTTGGTCATACTGAAACAGCCAATGTCTACATGGGCGTTGTCTTTCGTGGAGTATATTCTTTGCTGTTTTGTCCTCATCTTGCAACATTATGCAGTCAATTTTCAACCGACGAGTGAGAGCAACTGGAGATTTATTCGAATTCCACTGAAACAACAAATTTTCTGCTATGGTATTTCTCCTGAAATTGGTTTGCTTTTCACACCTGCAAACTTTGGAACATTACGTTCTACAGTTAATTAAGGTGAGAATACTTGATATAATTAATTTTAATTGCTCTTTATTAATCTGTTACCACCGTATCTGTTTCAGATCGACGTTGGAGAAGACATAGATGACCCCATAGTTAAAATAGTTCATCTTGCATGCTGTATCTAGTAGGACTCATTAAGTTCATTTTATTCAAATTAATTTTTTATTTTGCATGTCTTTTTGTAGTTAATTTGATTTAATTTTTATTTTGCAAGCTCATTTTCGTTCTTTTTGTTTGAAGTAATTGTTGATTGTAGATTCTTTTATTTATTTTTTGTAATAGTAGTAGTGTAGTAGTAATACTTACTAACACTTGAGTAGTTGTAGTATAGTCTAACATGTCTCTTGCTTACCTCTTCGCTTAGCTTACTGCATATTCTTACTATAAATTGCTTTGCATTTACCCTACGAGTTCTACATGATTCAACGTTTCGTTATCGTGTGTGTTTCTTCTCACCCTTGTGGAATTAGGGAGGGCCTCCCCGAACGACTTCCCTTGGGCTTAGCTATTTAGTTGATCTTAAAAGTGTCTTATACACTTTTCGCGAGTCTACTCTAGCGTTACTTCCTTTCAGACAGGGTACAGTGGGTTATCTGGAATAGGAGCAATAGGCGACTGCCCAGCTTGCCTTGGC